ATCTTGTAAATTTCCTGCTTAAGACCTCCAGACATTTCTACAAGAAGCCCATTATTGGGGGATGATATTTAGAGAACATAACCTGGGTGCTAGGGGTGCTTGGTGCTGCTAGGTAGGTCACTGATTCTATGTCTTTTCATAGGACAGAGCTAGGACATAGGTATTTGTTTTAAAATATAAAAGTAAATTAGGAGCCAATATTACCATATCAAGATTAAATTTTGTTTCCAAAAGTTTGACTTAACTTTTTAAATTTTGTATTTGTATCTCTTTTATGCTGAAAATTTTGATTCCTATTAACATGAATATAATTACGCATTTATTTCTAATATATAATAGTTACAAAATAATCATATTACCGAAGTAATCAATTTAAGATTTGTTTGCAGTTTATTTAGCATACACATATGTCTTCTTTGAAATATTCAGCCAGATCCCTGTATTTTAAAGTCGCTTTAATAATTCTCTGTCTGGTTAAGCCACCAACTTGATATCCAGTTAGGCTCATTTGTTTTATTTTGTGTTTGATTTTTTTGTGTGCATTCTCTTCTGACTTAATTTTGTGTAATTATTCTGTAAAATTATTCTGAATCTACATGCTTCAAAGTCAAAGCTATAAGGTAAGGTAAATTCAGAAAAATTCAGCTTCCATTCTTTTCCCCTAAATCCTTCACACTCCCTCCCCATATAGGAAACTATTTTTATTTTCTCTTCAACTGTTACTATGTTTGTTTTAAAATATAGGCAAATGTGAATATAAACATGTATATTCCCCAAGTCCTTATATAAAAGAGTGCATTATACACATGATTCTGTACCTTGCCTTTTTTTTTTTTTAATAATTTTTTTTTAAAGATTTTATTGGGGAATTGGGGAAGGGGAGCAGACAAGTTGCTGTTGTTTTGTTCTTCAGTCTAGTTGTGGAGGATGTTGCTTCACTGGCCCAAGTTGGCACCATCACTGCGCTCTTCCCGGGCGAGGCAGATCAGTCGCCGGCTTCTGGACGGCCGCTCACTGCGGCTGCTGACCACTCACGCTGGCTGCTGGCTACACACGGTAGCCCATGGCAACCCACTGCAGCAGGGACTGCAGCAGGGCCTGCAGCCTATGCCGTCGCCAGCGACTCACGGCAGCCCAGCTCCAGGTTGAGCTGTTGTTCACCATCTTAGCTGTAGAGGGCAGTGTCATTGGCCTTCATATGTGGGATCCAAACCGGGGCCCTCTTGCGTCCCAAGCCAGTTCTTAACCAATGCGCCACTCGGCCGGCCCTGTACCTTGCCTTTTTTCATTTAACATTATATACCCTGTAGATTATTCCAAGAATGTATTGTATATGGAAATTCTCCTTATTCTGCTTTATAGGTATGTAGCACTCCATCATATTGACGTACTGTGGTTTATTAAACCAGTCCCTAATTATGCAAAATGTGGATTTCCAGTCTTTTATTATCAACAGTGCCTCGGTGAATAGTTGTATGATATGTCATTTTGTATTTTTTGCTAGTATCTTGGGGATAGATTCCTAGAAATAAGATTGCTTAGTAAAGGCATAAACACTTATGTAATCTTGCTAGATATTACCAAATTCCCTCTGTAGGGTTTGGGCTATTTTGCATTCCCATCATTATGTATATTTTAAAGAGTGATGTGATTGTTTTATTTTATGTTTAAATATATCAGATTATGTATATTTAGAGCAATTCAGGCTTATGATAAGCTACTTTGCAGTTTAATTTTGAGAGAGTACCAAGCTTTGCAAAAACATTTTAGGGTTTCTCAAGCAAAATTTTAAGACAAACGGCGTAAGACAGCGTAGAATAATTGGTTTATAGTCATGTTGCTCCTGAGTGAAAGGTGAGGATTTGATGTCAGGTAGACCTGTGTCCCCTACCTCTCTATCTACTGGCTGGGTGACCCTGGACAACTCGCTTAACCTCTCTGGGACTCATAGGGAAAGCATTTGTGGATAGTGTGAGATGAGATAATGCATGAAAAGCCCTTGGCACCGAATCTCTACCAGGTGGACCACCACGTGAGAGAAATTACGATTGTTGATTTGTTCTTGCCAGGACCACACTGCCCCTCTCCATTCTCATGGATCTGAATTGGGGAGGCAGCTAGGAAAGGACTGAACGATCAGGGAGTGGATTGAGCAATTTGTCCCAGTTTGCCCCTGACTTTTCTGGTTTTAATTCTGGAAGTCCCACACCCTGGGAACTCCCTCAGCCCCAGGCAAACTGGGATAGCTGGTCACCCTCGTGGGAAGACAGGCCTGGGTTGAGGGTCCCAGGGACCTCTGCCAGAGGTTAGAGACAGCTCTACCTCACGGTCTCCGAAGGCCACATGGCAGAACAAAATCTCTTCTCACAGAAGGGACCAGAAATGTTTTGAAGTTCAAATGGGACCGTCATCTTGAAAGGTGAAGAGCCAGGGGAAGTCAGGGTGGGCCAGTTCCTTTCACCTCGTCTGTTCTGGGAATCGTTGTTCATGAGGCCATTGGCCTCTTGGTATTGACTATAACTGAGAACCCCTTGCCTGTCACAGAATGATTGAGGTTAATATTTTTTTGATAACAATAATGAAGTGTATAGTTAGCCGATTAGCTATTCCAAAATAGGGATTTTTTAAAAAAATTAAATGTATTGGGGTTAGTAAAATTACATAGGTTTCAAGTGTATATTTCTATAACACATTATTTGTATATCACATTGTGTGCTCACCACCCAGTCAGATCTCCTTCCATCACCATATACAGAGGGTGCCCAAAAAATGTATACACATTTTAAGAAAGGAGAAAACTGTATTAAAATTTTAATACCATGAATGACGCTAGCATTCATTTGATTAACACCATCTTTCGAGTGAACGTCATACTACACGTTGCTACGGCAATTCAATTCAACTTTGAAAAGTAATACGTAGATAACATGTCTTAAAATGTGTACATTTGACCTCCTTTACCCTCTTCTACCATCCTCCCTCACCCCTCACCCTCTGGTAACCACTAAACTGTTGTCTGTGTCTGAGTCAAGCTATGGATTTTAATATAATAAAAAGCCCACACAACCGTATTTAGTCATCCCTATTCACTGGTATGTCATTGTTTAATATGCCCAACCTAATGAGAACACTGGTATTTGGCAGCCTGATATTCCGGACTCACAGCAGGAATTTTCAGGCCAGATCAGATCTGTGTCACTTAGTTCCAATTATTTCAACATTTTAATGAAATAAAAATGTCCTTTTATACTGCTGGGCACCTCAAGATTGCCAAGAAGTAGGCCGCTCAGCTAGAAAGTTCAGGAATGTGCTGGGATCCAACGACCCACCTCTGACTTCTCGGGCGGCCAAGCTGCCCCAGGAGCATGATCTGCCTTCAGCTCTTGTTTCTGCTCAGGGCGGAGGAACAGCCTCAGGGCATGGCACCCAGGCACCCGGTGGGCTTCCAACATGAGTCAGACAACCAAATCTTGTTCATTGCCTCTGATATTGTAACTTCCTGTTCAGAGCTTAAAGGTCCTTCAAGACCTGGGACTCCTTTCTCACAGGACACCATGTCCATGGGAAACGCATGCAGTTGCGTGTGGCGGGTTATTCACTCCCATGCGTCCTTTGATTTAACCATTCCCCATGCCATTTCTCCCCTGAGTTTCAAGTGCATTGTGGTCCATTATCCTTATTATGGGGGATGTTTGGCCAGTTGTGGTGTCCTGGTACCTGCCACCACCCAGTGAAGTGAATGAAACTTCCCCACTGTGAATAGCCCTGGTAAGGGTGGCCCCAGGTCTGGGCAAGGTGCCCACTCCCAGACCAGACCCTTCCCAGTATCACCCTGACATAACCGAGGTGGGTACCAGACTGGTCAATGGGATGTCTTCTCCTGGGACTCGATTCCCCAACATGTGAGTCATGTGAGGGCTGAGTAAACATCTGGACTTCAGCCCACTCCAGCTGCAGCTCTGGAAGTGTCTCAGATGCAGCCTGGCTCTCCAGGCCCTGGGCTCCCAGGGCTCCCACGTGCCTTCCAGCTGGAGCCCATAGTGTGGCTGGGGCCACAGCATTTGGGCACATCTCATAGTGGAGAAGGTCTGTGGGCCACTATGCTTAGGGACTTGCTCGTGAAGCAGCTTGACTTCTCCCAGCCTGGGAATTAAAAAAATTTTTAAAAAATAATTTCTTAATTTGATTAAGTAGTACATAAGCCTGATAAATTCAAACTGTGTAATAAAACACAGTATAAACAAAGACTCTATCCCACTCCTGTCCCCCAACCATGCTGCCAGCATCTTTGTTTCCTTTCAGAGGGAACCTGCATCCATTATTATAGCTCCTTTTAAAATCACAACTGGAATCCACCTGCAAACATGCTGTCCTCTCTAACAACATATCTTAGAGTCTCAGTGTTTCTGATGGGAGGAAGTAGTTGGGTGCTTTGTTGGAAGGAACAAGAACGCCCTTAGGTTTTGCTTCCAGGTGGGAGGCTGGCCTCCTTGGGCCTGCGGGACAGGAGCTGGTGCAGCCTGGTGGATCCTCTAGCACCCCTGCTGGCTTTCTGTTTGGATAAACATTGAGCTACTTTATTCAAGAACGTCTTCTGTGTGTGTGTGTGTGTGTGTGTGTGTGTGTGTGTGTAACAGTGCATGTGTGTATGTGCACAAATGTGTGTGTGACACTAGCTGCACACGTATTCCTGACACCCATTGTGCGGGGTGTGATAGGGTGGGGAATATCAGGCCTCATTCGTCTCCTGGCGCCGAACACAGGGCCTGGCAGGCAGACAGTAGGTGCTCGCGAAGCATCTGGTCATCATCTGGTCCCCAGCATAAATCCTCCACTTTAGCCAGTTTAGGTGATTTTTCCCAGATTCCCAGCCTTTGCTCAGGAAACAAATTTCTTGTTTTTTGTTGTGTTTTGTTTCTCCTCCCTGGAAAATCCTCCCAAGTTCACCACTTGTTGAAGTTGTGAACACGCTTTCTGGCTCTCCTCTAGAATGCCTTCCCTGACCAGCACGACCAACCAAAGGCCACTGAAGACATTGCTCTGTCTCTCACAGGGCTGTCGAACAGTGACCCCACCCGGGCCTGATGGCTCCCACGGCACCTGGAATCAGAGGGCTAGGACAAGTCTGTGGCCTCACCTGTGGATCTGTGGTCTTTCCATGGTGAGCCACTCTTTGAACTGGGAAACCTCGGCAGGTAATTGCTTTTTCTTGCTATCTCCTGGCTAATCTCTCTAAACTCCTGTGGAAGAGGCAGCTGGAGACAGGCACAGGGTTGGCCCACAAGTCCCCACCATGCACGTGGGCTCTTTCTCCTCCCTGCCACGCACAGGTGCTGGCTCAACCCTGTCAACTCTTGGGCAGAGGAGAGGAATCATGGCTGGCTGGGGTGCCCTCGTGGCATTCACTCAGTCATCACTTATGCAACAAGTATTAATCGAGGTCCTTCCCTGGACTGCTGGGCACTGGGGACAGAGCTGTGAACAACACCATGTCCAGGCCTGGGGAACTGATGTGCCAGGAAGGGAGATCAACAATAAACAAATGAGCAATAAGCATATAGCTAATGTGTCAGCAATGCTGTGATGCCAATAAAGGAGACTAAGGTGTGCAGTGGGGTGGACACAGGCAATTTGTCAGAATGGTCGGGGAAGGCCTCTGGTGAGGAGATACCTGAGCAGGCACCAAAGAAAGTGAGGGAGACTGTGTGGGAGCAGAGCCTGGGGGCAGAGGGAGCAGCTGTGCTGTGCTGAGGGCCTTCAGGGGAGAGCAAGGGCCCAGTGAGCTTAGGAGGCGTGAATGAGGGGACAGCGGCAAGAGATGAGGTCCAAGGTGAGGGTGGGGGGGGGAGCGGGCGGCAGAGTGTACAGGCCACAGAAAGGACTTTGGATTTTACTCCATATGAGCTGGGAAGGGTCCTCGGACCTCTGGAACATTCTAGAAGAGTGACATCAGACTTACATTTTAAAATTACTGTTCTGCAGCTGTGTAGAGAACAGACTGTAGAGGAGTGAAGGCAGAATCTGGGAGACCAGTGAGGAGGCCACGGCAACGACCCAGGTAGGAGGAGGTGGTTCTTGGGTCGGGGTGGCGGCCTGGGAGGTGACAGGAGGGAGTCTGATTCTGGATAGATACTGAAGGAAGAGCCAGCAGGAGGTCGTAATGGGTGAGATGTGGGGTGTGAGAAAGAAAGACACCCAGTAGAGCCCCAAGATTTTTTACTCTTCCTGGAAGGTAGAGACAGGGAGGCTGTGGGAGTCGCAGGTACTGAGATGTCAAGGACAGACCCTAGGTTAACGCCCATATCTTGGTGGTGGTTAGAGACAAAGGCTTGACCAAAGTCTGGCTCCCACCTGGGACCCAGCGTGCAGTGCGGCTGCTGTGTGAGGTTCCAGATAGGGTAGGGTGCCCGCAGGGCTGCTCTTGTCACCCCAACTGTCTGATGAAGCCTGCTCCAGTCTTTGCAGGAACACCATCCGTAGCAAGTAAACTCAGTTGTCATAGTTAGACCAAAATGCTCAAATTTGATACTGGAAGGTACTTTTTAGACTCTGCACATGGCTACTTTGGCAAGTGATTGCTTTCGTTGTAAACAAACAGCCCAGCCAGCCAGCCTCAACTGCAAGATGTGAGGAATTCTGACATCCCACCATTGTTGTGGGAAACGTCCACACTGCATCCTTTGAAACAATAGAGCCCTCTGAAATGTAAACAGTGCCCTTTCCCTTTGGATGTGCTGGCTGAGACATCCCCTCTCCCTTCCCACAGAGTCTCTGCAAGTTGAATAGCTTCTGCAAGGGGAAGTCAGGGGTCAGGGCTGAGCCTAGAGCTCCTCCATGCTCCCAGGCGGGACTCTGGCTTTCCGTGAGGAAGCGGGAGACCCTTTGCGGGTCTCTGCATCTGTGAGTTTGGGGAGCAGGCAGATCCTCAAGTGTCTGCGTCTCTGGACATTGTGCTCTTAAGGCTTTATTCTGGCCACTTAGCCGTGCTTCCCAACAGGCTGACCACTGCATGGTGGGGTGCTCCCATCTCCTCTCAGAAGCCATGTCAGGGCTCTGGACGATGACGGAAGACAAGGACCCGGTAACTGGAAGGCAAGTAGGTGTCCTCCCGTGGCCGGTCCCGATCTGCAGGCTCTGCAGGAACATAATGGTGACGGTGGCTACCATTTATCGAGGGCTTCCTGTGTGCCTGACTCTGTTCTAAGCACTTGGCATGGATGATACCATCTAATTCTCCAACTGCCAAGTGAGGTAGGTGATGTTATCGTTGCCCTCTTACAGCTGAGGAAATCTAGGCTTGGCTGGATTAGGCACTGTGCCTGAGGTCACACAGTCTGGGAGTGGTGGGGCCAGGGTGGAAGCCAGTGTGGCCCAACGGGAGGGACTCTGTGGTGATTTCTGCCCTTGAGTGGAGCAGAGTGCCAGCACCCAGTGAGGGGGCATTGGCCGTCTTGGCACCACGGCATAGAAGCCTTGCCAACACATGCTCGTCAGCTCTGGGGGTTCAACGATGAACGAGGCAAACCCTGCATTCAGGGAGCTAATGGCCCAGCAGAGCAAAGACCACGTGCTAAGCCCACCACCCTGACCAATGTCCCGGCCCAGTCATTGTTCTATAGTGTTCCCTCCATGGGACAGCGTGAAGAAGTGACTTCTCCTGAGATGCTAACATTATTGGGCTAAGACACCTGCCTTCTGGGGCTTAGACCTTATAAAACTCTCCCCTACAATGGTTAACTGTGAACTTGAGTGGGGGATACCATGAGTGCTATTGACTGTCATGTTCACGGGCCTAGCATGGGGCCTGGCACACTGTAGGGGCCTGGTGAGGCTCAAGTGGACAAAGAACATGGATCACTGAGGGTGGGGAAGTGGAGGCTGCTACACTCAGCATGGCAGCCCTACACCTGGGTCACCCAGGTGAGGCTGCAGCAGGCACAGGTGGGTTCTGTCGATGACCCACCTAGGTCTTGTCCTGTGCCCTGGGAGGGGACAGCACTTTGGAAACATTCCTTAGTATTAGGAGCCATGGATAAATGTGCTTCTGAGCACCAGCCCAGTGCCCACCCAATGAGGATGAGTGCGTGGGAGGAGCTTTTAAAGATGGATGATGGACTTGAGGACTATGCTGGGTGGTGCCCAGACTGACACTCCCCAACCAAAGACCTTGGAGAAGGGAGGTCTGCCTGTGATATCCACAGGCTCCTTCGAAGGAGCCAGTCTCCTGTGAACAGGTGTTCAGGACTTTCTCAGGTATGATGTGAACAACAGGGCCGAGAGTAGCAGGGCAGCTCCGGGCAGGGGCTTCCAGGACAGCCCAATCCACCTTCCTGCCCCCCGAAGGGGTCAGAGAGAACCTCAGTGCCTGGAGGATATTGGGAATGTATCACTTTCATTCAATGTATATTTAATGAGCACGTACTTTGTGCCAGGCACAAAGCAGACCAAACCCCTGCTCCCATGGAGGTCACCTCCTATTGGCTTGATAAGCCCCGTTCTCCCAGACACAAGGAAGGCTCACCCTGAGGGGGCTGTGTCTCTTCTGCAGCCAAGAGGGACAGGCAGGAACTGGAGAATCAGGCTGTGAAAGCACAGTAAGCAGCAACAAGGCTAGCTGAGCACAGACTTTCTTAGCTACAGATTTTTGTTTTTAAAGAACCTGGAACCCCACATAAACAGTGTTTTATTAAGCGTAACTTTATTTGATGCATTCTTATTTGTGGTGTTTACTTATGAAGCCAATTGATGAGAATAAGAAGGCAGTTTTGATCAATATAACCACTTGAAATCTGGGGTTAGGGAAGTCAGTCAGCCTTATGCTGACCTCAGCATCCAAGGCCTTCCTACATATCAGGGTTTCTCAACCTTGGCACTAGCAGCATTTGGGGCCAGGCACTTTGTACTTGGAGACCTGTCCTGGGCAGTGTAGGATGTTTAGCAGCATTCCTGATGTCTACCTACTAGATGCAGTTAGTAACATTCCACTTAGTAGAGAAAACTAAAAATGTCTCCAGACATTGTCAGGTGTCCCTTGGGGATCAAAATCTCCCCAGTTGAGAACTCGTGCCATCTATTTTGATTGTACAATATTAAGAAAATTCTATTTCATGTGGAGCAGTACTTGCAGTTGGCAAGAGTGGGTTTTTGTTTGTTTGTTTTGTTTTCGATTTTTGATCAGCTCTCCTGACACCCTTAGGACTACATTTAATTAACTAGAAGCCTCACTCTAAGGTCTGCACTAAAAGCAGGTTAATGCCGCAGCCCACATTAATGGGTTGGTAGTTTGCAGTGTACTAAATTTGTCTGTAACACATTTGTGTGGGTGTGTTGTTTTTACTACAATTTTGAAGAACAGGAAAGTCTTCATATTAAAAACATGCCAACCACATGTTGGCAGGTCCCCTAAACCTTTTGGGAGGCAGGTTCAGCGATGCTGGTTTCACGTTAGGAAGCGGCCATAGTGAGGCCAGGAATTGATGCCAGTGCCGGCCGAGCAGGAGGGCAGGGCCATGGCACTGAGCTGCTGCCCCAAGGACCCTGAGATTCAACAGACAAAGCTCGGAGGAGGCGGGAAGGGCACACAAAGGACTGGGGATCCAGAACAGGAGAGAAGAAAAATAAGACTGATTTAGGGGGTGAACAGAAGGAAAACAAAGGACTCTTTCTCCATGCACTTCTAAGAAAGAACCCCATAATCTTGACGCAGGGCCAGCAGGTTAAACCCAGAATAATCATAATGAAAACAATCTGTTTGCACCATCCGATGCTTCCAGAAATTCCCAGGCGCAAGTTCAAGGTGGAGAATCCCAGTGGAAGCGCTGCTGGTTAGAACTGAGAGGGTGGTGGTGAGATGAAAGGACGAAGGAGAGCAACGTTCCCAGTTCCCAAGAGTGGGGGCTGCCAGGCACCCTGGGGGTGGTGGGCCCACAGGCTGCAGAAACAACAGCTGGCTTTAATGTTCCAGAAAAAAAGAGTTCTTCACTGGAATCAATTTGTTCTCCTTCCTCCGAAATTGGGAGGCAATTCCAGAGTTTCCTCCTGGGAAATATGCCTCAAGTGCGGTGGGGCAGCTGACCACAGGCCAACACCCACCACACCCATGGGGCTTGGTAATAGACTTAGCAAAACATGGCAGAGGCCTGGCCAGGGGACTGACAACTACCCACTGGCCTTGTCCTCAGCTCCTGGGGCACTTCTCGGCGGGAGCTGGGACACGCCCACTTGAGCCTAGAGTTCATGGGCGCCCCGAGCACCTTTCTATCCTCCTTCACCACCATCACTTGGAGGGATCTCGTTTTTTTGTGATGCAACTGACCACTTTCCACGTGTCAGATCTTGGTGTCAAGAGAGACCTTGCAATAATGGGGTCCAGCTACTCATTTCGCAGATAGGGACTCTGAGACTCAGTGGGGTGACTTTCCTAAAGTCACTACCCAGGCGTCCCAACCATCAGCTCTGTGCTCTCTAAAACCATCACCCGCTTCCTGATGCAGGAAGGGGACTTGTCCAGGGCCTTTCAGCTTTACCATCTGTGCTGGTGTCTCCTGAAAAAGAGCAAGTGTGTGGATGAGCGTGGCCATGTATGCACATGCGTGAGTGTGTGTGCCCTGGCACGACCACGAGAGCACATATGTGTGTCTACACATCTTTGTAAACTGCTGACTACTATATATCTGGACAGACACTATGTGAGGTGTTGGGATCCAGGGATGGGCTGGGGAATGGGTTGGGGGTCAGGGTATGTGGATGAGGGTTGAGGGTCAGGAATTCTTGTGCAGGACCAAGGAAAGTCCTTAGAGGTCTGCGACTAGAGTGGTGCTGTGTTGGGGTATGGCCAGTCAGAGAAGGCGTCCCAGGAAAGGAGGTCCATGAAGAAAGCTTAACACGTCAGCTGGTGACGAGGGGCCTGGGAAGACTCCCCCGCAGAAAAACCAAGGGCTGGGAGGCTAGAAGAGAGGAATGATTGGGAAAGTCCAAATAGTCCACAGTGACTGCAGGGCAGGGTTCATTTGGGAAGCCAATAGTCAGTTGCCAGACATTTATTGAGCACCGACTATGTGCAGGTGCTGTGCCAGGTGCTGAGAGACAAAGGTAGAGGAGACTTGAGAGTTTACCAGGAGTTGGTTCTGTTCATGTCCCAGCAGACTTGCAGAGGCCCTGCTCTGCAGCACACCATGGGTTCTGAGAGGAATGAAATGTGATCCACGCCCTGGAGAGCTCACTGACCCCAGGAAGACCTCTCGGAGGCACACGGCTTGTAGAGGACTGTGGGAGGGACCCCTGCCTCACTCCATACCCCAGCCTGACCCTAACTCCCACATGCCCACCTCCAGGGTCCTGAAGCAAGGTCCTTGTGTGTTCCCCACCCTGGAGAGTCTCTGAACTCCCAGGATATGTGCGTGCATTCACTGGTCCCATGGAAGCTTCTGGAGGACTCCAAATATGAACCACCAGCCCCAGGGCAAGCCCAAACCTTGGTCTGACAGGGGAGTTCAGAGCTCAGTCTATCAGGAGGAAAGAACCCAGGGCCCTGTATTTCACAATTGAGGATGCAGAGAAGGTCTTCAGACCTTGCCTGACACCTCGTGCTGTGGGTCCCCTCAGGCAGCAGATAACCCCAGCTTACCGCCTTATCTCTCCCCCAGGATGAGACAGATGAGTCTCGCCTCATGTATGCAAAGCACCTTACAGCTTCCCACAATCTCAGACCTCTCCTTGGGAATTGGCAGAGCAGCTGTGACTTCCCTTGTACAGACGAGGCCACTGAGGCTTGGAGAGGGCAAGTGTCGGGCTTGAGGATGGGCTCCCTCTGAGGTCAGTGCCTTCCCCACACCCAGCCTCTGCTTTGCAGCTTTCCTCACAGCCCCCACCCCTTCCAGCAGGGCGACTTCCCTCTGATGGCAGGCCACATGTGCTCTGCTTTTTGTGACTGGAGTGGTTTCCAAAACTAGCTGTGAAATTTCCTGAAAGGCGCTCCAGGGTCCCCAGCTTCAAGGGCTTTCACAGGTACCTGCCCAGGAAGCGCTGAGTGAGCACTTCCCCGGTGACAGCGTGAGCTGACCCAGGCCTCAGGGCCCTTCCTCTCCTCATTAGGGAAGGATAAAGGAGATTCAGGGGAGAACCAAAGCCCTCCTGGGAACCATCCTAAGGGAAGTGGACACTCTTGTGTGGCCTTCCCAGCGCTGGGCGGCGCCCACCCTTGCCTTCAGCAGGGCTTTGGTGCTGGAAAGAGTGCGTGTTAGCTCCTGGGCCTCGCAGGAGGCAGAGGTCAGCACTTTCCAGGGCTGGCCTTTCCGCCTCACAGCAGACGGAAGGCCTGGGCCTCCTCCCGGCTCCACTGGGAGTTATCAGTGGACAGGGTGTGGGGCCTAGCAGCCTCCTCTCTGCCAGGCACAACTCTTGGAGCTGTTTGACCTCTGCTGAGTGGGAACTGACCGGGGAGTTTTCCTCACCAAGGGGGGTACGGGGCCCCAGACCACTGCCCGCTCCCTGTGCCTGGGCCTCAGCCTTTGAGCTGGCCGGGGAAGGGCCTGTTTCTCTGCTGGGGGACAAGACATACAGCTCTTAGCCCTGCCTTCCTCTCTGGACACCCTGTCATTCTCCCTGGTCTCCCCTTGAGGCACACAGGCCTTCTCTGTCCCTTACAGCCTCTGTACCACTCTCCTCACGTCTCCCTCTTGCCAATTCCTACTCATCCTTCAGCCCCGGTTATCCCCTCACTTCCCTGGGATGGTTTTGTGGACCCTGGTGTGGCTGGTCCCTCTCTCACCTGCCCCGGCCTTTTCCTCCAGAGTGCTCCTCATGGTCGTGGTTAATGGCCTGAGGTTGACCCGTTGACCTCCCTTCTCCAGCCACAGGAAGGTTAGAACAGTGCCTGCGGCTTGCGTGTCAGGCCAGGCACAGTAGGAGCTGCCCAACTGTGTCACTGGGTAAGTTGAATGTTCTAGCAGGACTGGGGTTTCCAGAGGTCCTGCAGTGAGGCCCTGGACACATCTGGGGTGGGAGGGGGCGTGCATGATCCAGAGAAGGTCATTTGGGACAGGGCAGGGGGCTCACACTGAGAGGGCAGGCCAGGATGGGGTGCCAAGGGTGGTGCTGGGCAAGGAGATCAGAGGGGCAATGGTTCAAATGGGACAAAATGTATTATGTTGCGGTTCGAGTCAGCCCGAGCTGAGCAGCCGTGAGCTGCCAACAGGTGGCGGGATGGCTCAGCTAAAAAAAAAAAAAAAATGTATTATGTTGGCCGGGAGAAGAGAGACCTGTGGAGGGGACAGTGCCCACCCAGCAAGGACAGCGAAAGGTAAATTTCCTCAAGGCTTTGTGCAGCTTCACCAAGGGGTCCCCCCCCTTAAACTAGAACTCCCTCCTCATGGGGAAGCAGCAGTGGATTCAGGTAGCGTTTGGCTCAGATCTCACCTTCTCTCTGGAGCCCCACTTTCCTCACCTGTAAAGTGAGGGCAGTAAGACCTAAATGATGGGATTGTTGGGAGGTCAGCTGAAGGAATGCTTTTGAAAGGTGAATGGAATGTCATTTGGCTTTTTGCTTTTTTTCTGCAGAATTGCAGGCCAAAGGAAAGGGTCAGGGGAAGGGAGCCCTTCAGACCAGTGGGAAGCATCATCACTGTTTGGGTAATTAATTGCCCTCCCGCTGATGGTAAAGGCTAGCAAACCCGGCTCCTGTGACTCATGGATCTGGGGAGAAAAGCAGAAGCAGCTTCCTGTGAACTTTGCAGAGGTGGGGAGAGTTTTTCTTGCCCTTCCCAGACCCGTAGTTCAACAAGCATGTACCAAGCTCTCACCAGGGACCAGGCGCTGTGCAAACGTAGATGGAACAATACAGCTCTGACCTCAGTGGGCTCTCTTCCAAGGCTGAGGGAGGCCTGACCCCTAAAGAGGAGCAGGCTTGGGAAAGAGAGTGCATTTTCTAGAGAGCCGACCCTAATGACCTCTTAGTGTTGGAGAACCAGGGCTGGGCCATCACTTCCACTTGCTCCTTGGAGATCTGGCCGTCCCTGGCTTTCAGTCCTTCTCTGCATGTCTCCAGCCTAGACTCTCTGAAACGCCACACTCCTATAGCCAACTGCCACCAATTCCCTCCCACATGGGGACTACTTGACAGCTTGTACACATGTCCAAAGATGAGCTCTGGAAGCTTCCCCCAGCTTTGCTCCACTCTTATCACAAATGATGGCGACTCCAGCCTTCCAGTTCTTGGGCCAAGATCATGGCGGCACCCCTCTCTTTCTCTCACAGCCCGCACCCAATCTGTCAGCTCTCCCTTAAAATATATACAGAAGCTAATCAAAAGCAATGGAAAGCAGACCTGTGGAGTCCTGGAGTATGGGGTGGGGGAAAGGTGATAAAGGGACACCAGGGCACTTCTGGAGGTATGAGAAATGTTAATTGTCTTGATTGTGGAGATGGCTTAATGGGTGTGTATGTATGTCAAAACTCATCAAATTGTACCCTTGATGTGCAGTTTAATGTATCACAATTATACCTTAATACAGCTGTTTGTTGTTTATTAAAAAGAGAAAAACAGATGTTTCCAGTAACCAATGTGAGACCCTGGAGAAGTGCCTTCCCCACTCTTAGCCTCAACTCCCCCATCTGTCAAATGGGGGTCTCGTGGGGACCGTCTAACCTCCTGCCCACCAGGGTCACCTCCCACATCTCCCTTAGAGGTGGCACTCGTCCTGGGAGAAGAGGCCAGTGAGGCTGTGTGACCCAGGTTTGTCTCAGCACTTTTCTGATCTCAGCTCAGTTCACCATCCTTCTTCACACAAGTGGCTCAGATGAAGTTAAAAGACTAGCTGGGGAAAGGTGGGTGCTAGGAAATAGGGCCAAGTCATACAGGAAAAGAAAGAAGCGATGAGTAAATCCGTGACTCCGCAATGGCCTGGCCTCCTCTTCAGGAGCTGTAGAGAAACAAAGGGGTTTTAACCAACACCCGCATTTGTAAATGGGGAAACTAAGGCCCAAAGGGGTCATTTTTCAAGCACACTGAACTAGAAAGAGTTCACACTGAAAGAGTTGATACTGAAATGCCGGGTGCTGTTAACTAGACTTATTGTCGTGACCACGTTCACTACATTGGGTTGTTGGAAAAGTCATGACACGTTTTTGCAATGAAAAACATAGAAAAAACTATGTCACGACTTTTCCAACAGTCCAATATACAAATATCGAATCATTATATTGTATACCTGAAACTAATATAATGTTCTATGTCAATTATATCTTAATGAAAAAGAGAGAGAGAGAGAGAGAGAGAGAGAGAGAGAGAAATGGAGAGGTTGCTGGACTCCTAATCCAGTGCTCATCCACAGCCTCCTCCCCTGAGGGCCAGAAGACATGAAGCTCACCCCTGAGTCACTGGCCTTTCTAAGCTAGTTCCCCCTGTGACCACAGGCTCTGCCTTTGGGGCCTCAGGGAGCTCTGCATCCATTCACAAGCGCCCCCTTCCCCAGAAGGGGACGCGGTACAGTGTCACATGCCCCGGTGCGCTTCCGTTCCAAAGCTGTTCAGAGAGTGACCTGTCCCAGCCTTATCAGTTTCTGCTGCTGCTGAAGTTTAGCACCAGGACCACCTCGTCCAAGCCACTGTCTGGGTTAGTTCAAAAACCTCTTCACTGGTGTCTCCGCTTCCTCTCTGTTTCCCTTTCCATCTGTTCACAACACATCAGCTAGAGGTATCCTATCAGAATGTGAGTCAGACCGTGCCCCACCCTCCCTGTGCGGGGAGCCCTCCACTGGCCCTGCTTTTGAGAGTAAGGCCCTCGCCCTGGCAGTGCCCTGTGAGCCCAACGCCAGCCAGTCCCTGCTCTGTTCTGATTTGATCTCCTGCACACTCCTCTTCACCCTGCTCCAGCCACGTGGCCTCCTTGCTGCTCCTACAGTACACCAGACACCCTCCTGCCCCAGGGACTGTGCCCTTGTTCTCTCTGCCTGGAACGCTCTTCTCCAGACTGTGAGTCTGTCACCTCCATGAGCCATCCCTGATCAGCCTGTTTACCTCTGTCGCTTGCCCTGTCTTCAAGCCCCGCATGCCCGATGGCCCCTGCCCTGCGCCATTTCTTTATTCCACAGCGTTTACCACTTCCTAGTGTATAACATTACTTTTTATTATCCATGTTGCTTGTTTCCCTCTGGAGGACTGGAGGCTCCAAAAGGCCAGGGATCAGGGTCTGTTTTGTAAACTGAAGGATCCCCAACCTCTAGGACCGCACCTTGAACAGCGCCTAGCCTAGAGCAGGCCCTTAATCAATACTTGGTGAGTGAATGAATTTGTTGAAGGTCACGGCCCTGGAGAGAACATGGGCTTCTGAAGTACCTTCATCTGGGTTCAGTGAACTCTTCCAGCACTGACAGCTGCTTACTTTTACCTCCTTAAACCTCCCTTTTCTCACCTACAAACTATGCTTTATTTTGAGATATAATATACATGAGGTGCCTAGCACAGTGTCTGGCCCGCAGCAGCCATGTGGAAGTCAACTGCAGGGAGGAGGGACTTTATTTAGCAAATAAATATTACGAGACGCAACTCCAGCCAGCAATAGGACAAGTACAGTGAGCACCTGCAAATTTCACTTGGGCTTATTCTTGCCTCCTTGGAAGGAAATGTCTGGTTCCAAACACAGCGAGTTTGGAAAAACATTACAGAGAAGGGAGGAGACCCTGTCAGCCCAGCGCGCTAGCAGGGGGCTCGGGACCACCAACTTCACTTCTCAGGCCTCTGTTTTCTCATCTATAAAATGGAACACTACCTTGCCTGGGGATTAGAGTGATGAAAATGTTTGGGAGCTATGTGGGGTTGCCCTTAGGGGTGGGCTGGCTTCAGGTGGCAGCGGGGCTGCAATGCTACCCATCAGGGATATATGATGCTTGCTGCTTCAGTCAAGTGTTACGGGCTGAACTGTGTTCCCCAAAATTCATAGATGGAAGTCCTCACCCCCAGGACACCACAGAATGTGACCGTCCTTAGAGACAGCATCTTTAAAGAGGTGATTAAGTCAGCATGATGTCATTAGGGTGGGCTGTAAGCCCATATGGCTGGTGCCTTACAGGACGAAGAAGTTTGCACGTAGACACACACAGGCAAAACGATGGGCAGACTCAGGGGGAGGATGGTCACCTACAAGTCAAGGAGAGGGGCCTCAGAAGAAGCGAGCCCTGTGGACACCTTGTTCTTGAATGGAATGTCC